AATCAAAAAAAAAAAAATTAAAAAAAAAAAAAAAAAAAAAATGGGGACCCCAAAAAAAAAAAAAAAAAAAGAAACCATACTAGTTTGTTCTTTTGCACACTGAAATTTGAGAACCACTTGAAGACTTCTGAAGTATTTTGGTATAGCAGGGTCTTTGATGCTTGGAACCATGTTACATCATGCTTAAACAAACACTTGTCCAGTTTATGGTTACCTTCTGTGACAAGGCAGGTGATAATCTGAGGGAGTCCGTTCTATCTCTGGTAGTGAGGAAGATGGACCCGAAATACATACTGCAGTTTTTATATGTTTTTCCAGTTCTGTTTCTTGCAACCCTGTAGAAGAAATGTCTGTTCTTCTTCCACGTGACCTTTCCTCTAGTCGAAGAAAACTAGCATCTCTTTTAAAAAATATATATATTTTATTGATTTTTACCGAGAGGAAGGGAGAGGGATAGAGAGGTAGAAACATCAGTGCGAGAGAAACATTGATCAGCTGTCTCCTGCACAACCCCTACTGGGGATGTGCCCGCAACCAAGGTACATGCCCTTGACCGGAATCGAGCCTGGGACCCTTCAGTCCTCAGGCCGACGCTCTATCCACTGAGCCAAACTGGTTAGGGCTGAAAACTAGCATCTCGTATTGTAACATTCTTTTCTTGCTAAATGTCCCCCAATATTTTATTGGTCTTTATGTGATATAGCTTTGAGTACTTTTATCAATCACCCTTTTCTTCTGAATGTACCTAGTTTGTATCCTTTTAAAAGTATGCCAAAAGTGGAATCTACTGCTCCAGGTGTGTTTTAACTAGTACAGGTTAAAGTTAGGCTATCCCCTCAATGTTCCAGATACCGTATTTCTTTTGATGCAGTCTGCTTTTTGACAGCCACATCATATTTTTTAATTTAATCAACTAACCCTGTTGCATTAAGTGAACTATCATCTTCAGGAAGTACACAAATGAACATGTGGTAGCTATGATGAAAGGAGCCATCAGAGAGACAGAAGTTACATGAAGTCTGCCTTACATATAGAGTGTAATTGACATTATTTCCATGTTTGATTTGGAATAAAAGGCCAAGGAGATCCAAATCAGGTTCTGGATTATGCTTACCAGCCACGAATATAGGTGTAGAGAAGTGGAACAACCCAAGACTATCGTTTATGTGGAAGAGCAGGATTAGAGTTCCTCTTGCTTCTTAATGCTCAATAGACGAACTCCAGTACACTTCCAGATGCTGCTTTGCCTTCATGATGTATTTGGGAGTAGGGAAACTGATTGGTTCAGAAACAACATGAGAAAGGGTGTGGCCCTGAATCACAGGCCTAGCTACACAGAGCTAGATAAGTGGCTAGGACATGGCAGTGCTGAAATGTGGAAAACCTGAGGCTCCTTGTAGAGATAGAACCTGGTGGCCTGTTGGATTTTGTTCATAAAATGATTTTGATTGGGTCACAAGTAAATAGTCAAGAAATTTCCTACTCCAATGGCATTTTGTCAGCACTATGTAGGAGCTTTAAAAAAATTATTTTAAAATCATTTTCCTCCAACTCTACTGTTTTAAAACATGAAAAAAGTTGAAAGAATTTTAGTGAATCCGTATTCCATGTAGATTTAACAATTGTAAAAATTTGCCATATTTACTTTATAACTGTCTATATCTATCTATTGTTTCTTCCTATACTATTTGAAAATAAGTTGTGGACAACTTGACACTTCACCCTAAATCCTTTCATAAGAACTTTTTTTTTTTTAAAAATAATTTTTTATTAATTTCAGAGAGGCTGGAAGAGGGAGAGAGAGATAGAAACATCAGTGATGAGAGAGATTCATTGATCGGCTGCCTCCTCCACGCTCCTCACTGGGGACCGAGCCCGCAACCCGGGCATGTGCCCTTGACCAGAATCGAACCTGGGACCCTTTGGTCTGCAGGTCGGCGCTCTACCCACTGAGTCAAACCGGCTAGGGCTCATAAGAACTTTTCGTGGCTGGCTTTTTGGAGGCATTCTAATGGTAGATTTATGTAATTGACTAAAAAAAAAAAAATACTGATGTCAAAGGCTACTGTCATTTATAATATTGTAGTTTACAAGTAGTTTTCACATTCATTATTTCGTGTGAACCCAAGCTGTGATATAAAGTAGACAAGACAGATAAAGATTCTTACCTGGCTTAAGGCAGAAATGCTGATGATGGAAATAGTTTTCTCACCTTTTCTTCTGTCAAGCTGTGACAAATATTTGAGAGTATACCCTCAGGGATAATCAATACCCCTAGCTCAGGGCAGCTCCATGGTAGGTAAATGGCTCTTTGTAATGGTAAAGAGAAAGTAAAAATGAAAAACAGTCTATTCTAGGCAAGAGAACTTAATTACTTATATTCTCTGTTGGTAGGTAATTCCAACATGGAATATTTCACCAATTAAGAAGGCCAATGAAATTAAGGTAAACTTGGAAGAGGTAATTCTTAATCTTTTCCAGAAAGACTTCATTAGTTTTGAAACCTAAGTATTTTTTATTTGTTAACATTTTGGGGACTTTTAACTTAAACTTTTAAAATTCCAGCTTTAATTTTTCTTCTATTCTATTAACTGCTAGGTTTGACTTTCTTGCTAGGAGTCTCTTTAACCCCTGCTTCTTGTTACTTGCTTTAGCTCATTGTGCTCTTAGGATATTTTCCCCTCCTGCTTTGTCTTTTCCTTCTTATTTTCCAAATACATGTGGTTTATATTTCCTGTTTACTTCATTTCTTTCTGTAATTGTATTTATGAAGCCTCCTCAGTTTGTGGATATCAACCTCGAAGAAGATGATTCCTCAGATGAAGAGTACCAGCCAGATGATGAAGAAGAAGATGAGACTGCTGAAGAGGTCAGTGGTGACCCTGTGAGTGTTGATAATATAGAAAAAAAAATTGGCTCAATAAGGCAGAGTGTATTTTCTTCCTTTGTAATGTCACCTGTTCTATAGAGAGTATTGAGACACCATTCTTTTTTCTACTCACTTTGCATAAATCCAAGTCTGAGAGGTATTTTCACACTCTTAATTTTGTCACATCTTGTATTATGAAATATAACATATTTAATATACAGAGCTGTACATACAGTAAAAATATACAGCCTAATTACAAAGCTAATTCTCATGAAACTTCTCCAAAGTCATTAAATATAGCATTGCCAAGATAACTCTTATTTGCCCTTCATGATCATAATCATTTCTCTTCCCCTAAAGATAACCATTATCCTGACTTTTTGGTAATTACTTCCTTGTTGTTTTGATTTAATATTTTTATTAATTTCAGAGAGGGGGAGAGAGAGAGAAACATCAATGCTGAGAGAGAATCATTGATTGGCTGCTTCCTGCACACCCCAAACTGGGGATTCAGCCCACAACCCGGGCATATGCCTCTGACTGGAATTGAACCCGAGACCCTTCAGTCCACAGGCTGAGGCTCTATCCATTGAGCCAAACTGGCTAGGGCTTCTTGTTTTTCTTTATAGTTATGTTCCCTAAATTTGCAGCTCTACACATTATAGTTCAATTACTGTTTTTAAACTTTATATAAATGGACCCATAGTGCATGTATTCTTTTTTTTGGTAGAAAAGCAAGCAAGAATTTATTGACTGCAGCAAAAACACACTTAGGACAGTGAAACAAGGAAGGACATTGAAGCAGCAACAGGAGACCCCAGGCTGGGCTGCTTTGGCTCACTAGGAAGTCAGAGAAAAGGGGTCTTGGAGACAGGTTCAGGTAGTTAGCCCTGGAAGAGGTGCTGCTGCCCATTTCTCCCCTGGTCACAAGTCTCCTGGGGTCCCTTGGTGTTTAGGAGATACATACCTGTTGGGGAAGGAGAGGCGGGAGGGATTGGCATGGTTATATTCCCTAAAGGAAGAGGATCTGTATTCTTTTGTGTCTGGCTTTCTTTTTTAACATTAATCCTTTGAGATTCATCTATCTTGTTTCTTTTAGCTATAGTAATATTCTTTTTCTTTTTTGGTAATATTCTATTTCTAAATGTGTTGTTTGACTTGTTTATAAAAGGATCTTTGATAAATGCCTTACAATTTTACAAAGTTTGCTGATGAGCATATTGACCTGATGATCTCTGTTCCCACCTTCAAAATATTAAGCTTTTATTTAAAAGTATTTTCTCTTACTCTGACTAATTAAATGATAATTTGTGATTCATTCTCTTGAGATACTTCAAACTCAGTGGAATAAGGTAGAGGCATAAATGTAAAAGTGAACCGGATATGTTTTGTAGAGTTTGTTGGAAAGTGATGTTGAAAGCACTGCTTCATCTCCACGTGGGGCAAAGAAATCCAGACTGAGACAGTCTTCTGAGATGAATGAAACAGATGAAGAGAATGGCATATTATCAGAGGTAAATCTGCATCATACAAAAGCGATGTTATAACTGTGTGAATTCTGAGCTATTACCCTTTGCCAAACATGAATCAAGATCAATAATCATGCCAGGATCTTCCTGGAATTTTTAACTGGTTATTATAACTGTTTCAATTCCAAAGTCTCTTAAATCAATGAACATTTTAATAGCAAACTGAACCCAGTGATAGGGAAAGAGCTTTTGTGATGTCTGATTAAGGGGCCAAATATGAGTGACTAACAGAGTTTCTTCTTTTCTACTTTTCTCTTTTTTATACCAGTTTTCTAATATTGTCCTAAAGCCATTTTTATAACATTTCCCACTTTTGGTAACCTAAGTAGCATCCTGTTGGTTTCATTGGAAACAGCATGAAATCTAATTAAATTAATACACTTGACAGAGTCTTTGTTTTTATGTACCTCCATCACGTCTATCCAGATGGGTCCAGAAAGATCATTAGTATATGAAAGATATGCCTCCCTCTCCCCTTCCATCCCTTCCATTTATTTGTTAATGTGCTTGCATCTTTTAATCAGGCTGAGAAAATTGCCACACCTGCCATCAGGCACATCAGTGCTGAGGTCGTACCCATGGGGCCTCCACCCCCACCAAAGCCCAAACAGACCAGAGATAGTACTTTCATGGAGAAGTTGCATGCTGTGGATGAGGAACTGGCATCTAGTCCAGTCTGCATGGATTCTTTCCAGGTAAATATAATTCTAATCGCTCAGAGCCCTGGCCGGTGTGGCTTATTGGTTAGAGTGTCACCCCATGCACCCACGGGTCAAGGGTTCTATTTCTGGTTCAGGGCACATGCCTGGGTTGTAGGTTTGATCCCCAGCCCTGGTCTGGGCATGTGCAGGAGGTACCATATTGATGTGTCTTTCTCACATTGATGGATGTTTCTCCCTCTCTCTCCCTCCTCCTTCTCTCATTCCCTCCCTCCTTCCCTTCCACTCTCTCTAAAAATCAATGGAAAAAATATCCTCAGGTGAGGATTAACAACAACAAATCTTTTTTAAATAATAAATCACTGGGAAAGTCAAATGGAGTAATTTATTTGTTGCTCATGTTGGGAAGAGAGAAGGGACGATATTACATTTTGATATAATAAGTAAAAGTTATGAAATTGTAGGTCTTTGATATTCTTTTTTATTTGTACTATTTTATTGTGAGAATGGCAGCTCCTAAGGAAGGAATAAGGTATGTGAAAGAAAGCATTTTTAAATGTGGAACATAGCCCTAGCCAGTTTGGCTCAGTGGATAGAGCATTGGCCCATGGACTGAAGGGTCCTGGGTTCAATTCCAGTTAAAGACACATACTTCAGTTACAGCTTGATCCTTGGCCCTGGTCTGGGCGCATGTGGGAGGCAACCAAATGATGTGTCTCTCTCACATCAGTGTTTCTCTCTCTCTGTCTCTCCCTCTCTCCACTCTCTTTCAAAAAATCAGTGGAAAAATACTCTCAGGTGAGGATTAACAACAACAAAGCCTTTTGAGGAGGTGACATTTGAGCTGAGATCTGAATGAGAAAGAGCCAGGCATGTATAAAAGATCTGGGGGAAAAATGGTTCATTCAGAGGAAATAGCACATTTAAAGCCCCTGATTCATAAGGATCATGGGAAGTAGTAGTAGGAGTCGGGTCGAAGAGCTAGGCTAGAGTGTGGGATCATGAAGGTTTTGGAAAACCATGATAAAGAATTTAGATTTTGCCCAGGCTGGGTAGCTCAGTTGTCTTGAGCGTCATCCTGATAACACCAAGGTTACAGGTTCAATTTTGACCCCCGGTCAGGGCACATACAAGATTCAACCAATGAATGCATAAATAAATGGTACAACAAGTCTCTCTCTCTCTCCCTCCCTCCCTCCCTCCCTCCCTCCCTCCCTCCTCTTTCCTTTCTCTCTAAAATGAGTAAATTTAAAAAAATGTTCTTTTAAATAGCAACCTAATTCAAAAATGGGAAATATAGGAAGGAGTTAGAGGGGGATGAACAACGAAAGGGAAGGGATTAAGATGTACAAATTGCTAGCATAAAATCAGTCAAGGGGAATATAGTCAACAGTATAGTGTCAGATGGGTATTAGACTTAATGAGTTAATCACTTTATAAGTTATATAAATGCCTAATCACTATGTTATATACCTAAAACTAATATAATATTGTATGTCAACTATAATTGAAAAATTAAAACATTTTTAATGGGCAAAGCATATGAATAGACATTTCTCCAAAGAAAATATGTAATGGTCAATAAGCAGTGAAAAGATGCTCCACATTTTCAGTCATTAAGAAAGTGCAAATCAAAACTACGATGAGATATTACTTCATCACCACTAGGATGGCTATAATAAAAAAGATGTTCAGTAACAAGTGTTGACAAGGATGTGGAAGATTGTAGAACCCTCATATGTTGCTGCTGGGAACATAAACTGGTGGAGCCACTTTGGAAAATGGTTTGGTGGTTTCTCAATAATTACCATATGACCCAGCAGTTCCTTTTCCAGAGAACTGAAAACATGTCCATGTAAAAATGTATACACAAATGTTCACAGCAGCATTATTCATAATAGCTCCAAAGTAGAAACAAATGAAATTTTCCTCAAGTGATAAATGAATAAACCAGAAATTGTATATTCATATAATGGAATATTATTGTGCACTAAAAAAGAACACAGTTTTGATACATTCTACAAAATGAATGAACTTATATATATATATTTATATATTTTATTAATTTTTTACAGAGAGGAAGGGAGAGAGATAGAGAGTTAGAAACATCGATGAGAGAAACATCAATCAGCTGCCTCCTGCACACCCCCTACTGAGGATGTGCCGCAACCAAGGTACATGCCCTTGACCAGAATCGAACCCGGGACCCTTCAGTCCGCAGGCCGACGCTCCATCCACTGAGCCAAACCGGTTAGGGCTGAATGAACTTATATTAAGTAAAAGAAGCCAGAGACAGAAGGCTATGTATTGTATGATTCCATTTGTATGAAATATCCAGCATAAGCAAGTCTTATTTCTTAGAAACAGAAAGTAGATAAGTGGTTAACAGAGACCGGATGCAGGTGAGAATGGGGTGGGGAGTGACTGCTAATGGGAATTGGATTTTGGGGGAGGGGGATGATGAAAATGTTCAGGAATTAGATACTAGTAGTGTTGATGATTACACAATTCTGTGAATATAGTAAAATCCACTCAATTTTATACCTGTAATGGTGAATTTTTTTTAATGAAAGGATCATTTCTCTTTTTTTGAAAAAATACATTTTTATTGATTTCAGAGAGAGAGAGAAACAACAATCATTGATTGGCTGCCTCCTGCACATCCCCTAGTAGAGATTGAGCCTGCAAGCCAGGCGTGTGCCCTCACTGGGAATCAAACTGTGACCTCCTGGTTTATAGGTCAATGCTCAACCACTGAGCCACTCTGGCCTGTCTTTAATGGTGAATTTTATGACATATAAATTATAGCTTAGTAAGCTGTTTTAAATATCCTTGAAATTTGTTTGTTTTTTTTTAAAAATATATTTTATTGATTTTTTTTACAGAGAGGAAGGGAGAGGGATAGAGAGTTAGAAACATCGATGAGAGAGAAACATCGATCAGCTGCCTTCTGCACACCCCCTACCGGGGATATGGCCGCAACCAAGGTACATGCCCTTGACCGGAATCGAACCCGGGACCCTTCAGTCCGCAGGCCGACACTCTATCCACTGAGCCAAACTGGTCAGGGCTGAAATTTGGTTTTAAGACTTATGTCATTGTCCTTAAAGTTTCTCAAAGAATAATAAACCCAAATTGTTTAGAGAAGAGACTTTGTCGTTTTAGCTAAGAAGAGAAGCACACAGGATATGATGAGGTTTGAAGAATTTGGAAGCATTAGGCATTCAGTGACATGTTTTTATTTCCTTCTCTATTGGCTAGCCAATGGATGACAGTCTCATTGCGTTCCGAACCCGCTCTAAGAGGCCTCTGAAAGATGTTCCCCTGGGACAACTAGAGGCAGAGCTTCAAGCTCCAGACATCACCCCAGACATGTATGACCCCAATACAGCAGATGATGAGGAATGGAAGCTGTGGCTTGGGGGACTCATGAATGATGATGTGGGGAATGAAGGTAAGTAGTTTTACTTGCATTTACTATCTACTCTGTCTATTTTCTCTGTGGTGAAATTTTCATTAGTTAGAAGCTTAAAGAAGGTATTTTTGGTTAATTGAATTTGGTATTTATCAAGCAATTTATTTTAAACTAGAGGCCCGGTGCACAAAATTCGTGAACTCGGGGGGTTGTCCCTCAGCCCAACCTGTGCCGTGAGCCCAGCTTCTGGCTGAGCAGCGCTCCTCCTGTGGGAACGCACTGACCACCAGGGGGCAGCTCCTACATTGAGCATCTGCCCCCTGGTGGTCAGTGTGTGTCATAGCGACTGGTCATTCCGCCATTTAGTCGGTTTGCATATTAGCCTTTTTTATATAGGACTAGAGGCCTGGTGCACGAGATTTGTGCATGGGTAGGATCCCTAGGCCTGGCTGGCAATCAGAGCTGATCTGTGGGGCCACTGGTGAATCCCTGTTCGCTCCCGCCTTGGCTGGCCTGGAGCTATCTGCTCGCTGACCCCACCCCCACCACCCCACCCCCACTGCCGGTCGGGGCCTGCAGGCTGGGGACAGCTCCTGCATTGAGCGTCTGCCCTCTGGTGGTCAGTGCACATCATAGTGACTGGTCGTTCTGCCGTTCGGTCGATTTGCATATTACGGTTTTATATAGATAGGTTAGTATGTAAATTCCCCTCTCCCCCCTTTTTTGGTTTAGAATCTTTGGGAATCTTGAATGCTAAGAATCCTCCCCTGAAATATAAATGCACACATAATTTTATATACCCTCTCATTGGAGTGCATTGATTCATTTGACTGTTGTGTTAAGGTTCTTTATGATGCAAGTGAAAGAATCCAAACTCCCACTTGCAAGAAGGTCAGATGAAACCAGACTTTGCTAAAGGGCAGAAAAACCTGCAGTAGAGTTGAGACCCTGTTAAGGCCTCCTTCTTTCTCTATAGCCTTCATCTCTACTTCTTTTTGTCAGTCAACTCCATTATTAAACCTGTTTTATCCTATAAGGCTTGTACCATAGTCATAAGCACACTTCTTGCATTGTCCTCAGATCAGAAGGACTCTCTCCTACAGGGTCCAGTTGGAAAATCCGGGAGAACTACTCAGATTGCCTTCGTTTGATCACATGCTCAGTTTCTTGGTGTTGCATGGGATTGATAGGAAGGCTGTTTCATCATGGAGTTCTCTGATTGGCAGAACCTCATAGAACAATGTGGTTGGAGTGTGTAGTTGGTCAAAAGAAGTGATGGTGTTTCCAGAAGTGAGGAAGGAGTTAATTAATGAGACAAAAAATAACGTTGACTACAGTCATACGTTGTGTAAGAATCCCTACCATAACCTTTACTTTAGAATATAAGTAAAAGTTCTTAGTTTAATACTGTGAAATTACATTATTAAAATTGGTGAGTTTTAAAAAGTGTACTGTAGTGGAAATCAGGCATAATTTAATTGTTTTGTACAATACATTTCTGTGGATTTAGAAGATAGGCGGTTGATTTCATTTGTAGTGATTCCAGATGTTGTCATATTCTCTTTTTTTAATCTTCACCCAAGGATATGTTTTTCATTGATTTTTCAATATGTTTGTCAAATAGGTATTCAGAGAACATTGGCTGACCCATTTGTGTGTTGTAGGCAGAAGTTGCCTATTGCAGTTCTTGCACCCAAACCAGATGGGTGTGCAAACATTAATATAATATCCGTATGTTATAGGTTCTTTCAGTACTTTTATTATTCAGCAATGTTGGAAAAGGATCTGCTGTGAAGAGACTTATGAAGAAAGGACTGTAGAGATTAGGAAGACAGAATTCCATTTCAAGGATTAAAGAAATGTTATTGGGGAGATAAACCCACAAATGCATGAAAAAGATTTGACATTCAAATAGCTATGTACAAACAATGCAACTTAATATTTTATAAACTAGTATTAATATTGAGTAAAGAATATAGGTTAGATTCAGTTTAATCAGTATAGACTTTTCAATGATTATGGACCAAAAATGTGTATATATTTTTATTTTTAATGAAAGATTTTAATATGAAAAACTAAATCGTGAAAGGGTACAAAGTAAAGAGTTCTATTCTTCAATCTTTGTTAATACTTTCTAGATATTTTCTGTGTATTTAATCAAGCACATATTTATCTCAAATATTTTTTTTCCACAAAAGGAATCATACTGCACATATTGTTCTGCCTCTGAAGCTTTGTTTCTTTCACTTAATTAAGTTAGATCTATTTCCATTGTAATACATAGACATCTTCCTCTCTTGCTTAATGGCTATGCAGTAGTAAGGAATTTAGTTTTCTCATTTGGTAGATTTTTTAAAAAATTCAGTTCCTGCCTTAGCTGGTTTGGCTCAGTGCATAGAGCAGCGGTTCTCAACCTGTGGGTCGTGAACAATGAAAATACATCCTGCATATCAGATATTTACATTATGATTCATAACAGTAGCAAAATTACAGTTATGAAGTAGCAACGAAAATAATTTTATGGTTGGGGGTCACCACAACATGAGGAACTGTATTAAAGGGTCGCGGCATTAGGAAGTTGAGAACCACCGGTCAAGGGCACATGCCTGCCTGGGGGCTTGTTCCCCAGTAGGGGATGTGCAGGAGGCAGCCAATCAATGATTCTGTCTCATCCATGATGTTTCTATCTCTCTCTCCCTCTCCCTTCCTCTCTGAAATCAATAAAGATATATTGGGAAAAAAAATTCAGTTCCTCCGTTGCACTAGCCACATTTCAAGTTCTCAATTTCCGCACATGGCTAGTGGCTACTATTATTGTACAATGCATATGTAAAATGTTTTCATCATTGTAGAAAGTTCTCTTGGACATCACTGATCTAAAGTTGTCCCAGGACCCGGCCAGTGTGGGTTAGTGATTAAGTGAAAACCTATGAACCAGGAGGTCACGGTTTGATTCCCAGTGAGGGCACATACCTGTCAGGCTTGGTCCCCAGTAGGGGGCATGCAGGAGGCAGCCAATCAGTGATTCTCTGTCATCATTGAGGTTTCTATCTCTCCCTTTCCCTTCCTCTTTGAAATCAATAAAAATATTTTAAAATAAATAATTAAAAAATAATAAAGTCTCAAAAATATTACCATAATATAACAATAATTCAGTGACTTCTTTCTAACCTCCTGGTTCATAGGTCAGTGCTCAAGCACTGAGCCACACTGGCTGGGCAAACAATTTTTATTGAGAAATGGGGAAGATATCATAGAGAAAATTATTAGGGAGAAACACAACCACATTTCTATGTCCTAACATAACAAATGCTTATTATATTTGTGTATTTTTAGTTATTTTTGAGTCCTAATATAGGGATATAATTTTTGAAACTTAATGGTTATTATATGTTCTTATATTGTGTTTTTTGTCATGTATGTATTGAATTTTTATAGAATGTTGCATCTTTGCATTTTGTATTATAGTCATTTCCTAATTTGGGGGAATTAGATTTATTCCTTTTTTCACTATCAATGCCTTCATGAGCTTAACAAAAGTATTATTTTCATAAGATATGCACTAATCAAAGTGAGATTCCTGAGATAAATTATATGTTCAGTTTTCTGGCTTTTGTTGCATTTTGACAGATTTAAGTCTTGTTTGGAGGACGGAAGAAATTTGGCTTATTGGAGAGAATAGGTGAGATGAGTCAGCTATAGGAAGTGATCTGTGCAAAGGCATAGAGGGAAAAAAAATTATTTAAAAACTTAAGGATAAATGTACTTTATTGGAACAGATTCTCATAGTGCTGAATATCTTACATTGTCACTAAAGATAAGAGTTGAGATTTGAGAATGAGTGTCTGAAACTTTGTGTTTTCTAGATGAGGCGGATGATGATGACGATCCAGAATATAATTTCCTGGAAGACCGTGACGAACCAGACACAGAGGATTTCCGCACCGACCGGGCAGTGAGAATCACCAGTGAGTCTGTGTTTACTATGGGTCCTGCTCTTGACTGTCCTATCTACATTTGTTCACTTTGTATATTTTTTAGGGTAAAGTTTGCACTCCATTTAATATAAGACATTTAAGCTCCCTCTATCCTATTTCTATAAATCTTTAAATGTAGGTATATATTCAGAAAGCCTATCAGTCGTTCATTTACACATCCCACAGTTATGTATTGAGTCTAGTATTTGGCAGGGATTATACTTAGGATACCATAATGAATAAAACATGGCTGTGTCTTATAGGGTGACAGTTTAGTAGGGGATACAAACAGAAAACATTATAATAGCCCTAGTCGGTTTGGCTCAGTGGATAGAGCATCAGCCTGTGGACTGAAGGGTCCCAGGTTCAATTCCGGTCAGGGGCAGGTACCTGGATTGCAGACTTGATCCCCAGTAGGGGGTGTGCAGGAGGCAGCCAATCAATGATTCTCTCTCATCATTGATGTTTCTATCTCTGTCTCCCTCTCCCTTCCTCTCTGAAATCAATAAAAATATATTTTAAAAAAAGAAAACATTATAATACAAAGTGATAGGTGCTATAATAAGTTGTGTATAAAGTATGCTAGTGGCCTAAAAGAGGGTATAATCTAGTGTATGGTATGAAATTAGGGTGGGAGGGCTTAGGGAAGGATTCACAAGATGAGGTTGTTTTTTTTTAATCCTAGTTTTGAAGGAGGAATAGGAAATGTATGGCAAATGGGGGCAGAGAAGGATATTATAAATATAAGAGCATCTATAAACAGCAGAATTGTGAAACAATAATAAGTGTGTTGAAAAAATAGTAAGTAGTCGGTATAGTTGTGTGAGTGAGTGGTGGTAGAAAAGGATAATCAGTGTTCAGAACTTGAATTTGAGAACCTTGAATTTGAGTTTTGATTTATCAAAAAGGAGAGAGAGCTCAAAGAGTTTTAAGTAGGAAATCAGTAGGAACTTATTTGGATTTTAGAAATACCATTTTGATTAAATACCGGTTTAATATAAAGAGAGCAAGATTAGAGGCATGCAAAGCACATCACTTGACTTGAGTCATTTGTTTGAAAAATTACTTCATTGCCAGTGATGAAAAACATATTTCAGAAATTATTGATTTTTTAAAATATATTTTATTGATTTTTTTACAGAGAGGAAGGAGAGGGATAGAGAGTCAGAAACATTGAAGAGAGAGAAACATCAATCAGCTGCCTCCTGCACACCCTCCACTGGGGATGTTGCCCGCAACCAAGGTACATGCCCTTGACCGGAACTGAACCTGGGACCCTTCAGTCCGCAGGCCGACGCTCCATCCACTGAGCCAAACCGGTCAGGGCAGAAATTATTGATTTTTATTGCATGCATTAAATACCCACTATTGGTCCTGAGACCTCATCAGGACAATTTTTATTATTACTGTTTTTTTATATAAATATTTTAAAGAATATTTTATTTATTTCAGAGAGGAAGGAAGAGGGAGAGATAGATACATCAATGATGAGAGAGAATCATTGATTGGCTGCCTCGTGCATGTCCCCTACTGGGAATTGAGCCAGCAACCATGGCATATGTCCTGACCGGGAATTGAACTGTGACCTCCTGGTTCATAGGTCGAAACTCAACTACTGAGCTACTCTGGCTTCACAAGAATAAGACTATTTAGTTCTCTCATGTATTCCAAGTATCTAGAACAGGATTGAGGCATAGTTGGTATTCAGTAAATGTTTTTGAATAATGAATATTAGATATATATGAGGATTTTGTCAAATGCCTTGCTGAAAATAACATACATTGTTTTCTTGGAATTCCCTCTTATGAAATTAACTTGTGCTCACAGCATACTGTTTGGGTTTTCTTGCAGAAAAGGAAGTGAATGGACTGATGGAAGAACTGTTTGAAACTGTGAGTAATGATCCTTGAGTATGAATTCAGGATGGTAAAAGTGGATTCTTCAGCAAGCTCTGTCTTTTTGGTCCCAGGGCCCCTGCCTCCAGAATGGCATTCATACAAAGCCAGTTCCCCCTTTAGCCCACCCAGGAGAGAATATAATGGCAGGAGAATATTGGTAACTAACAAACTTTGGTTATCCATATATAGATAATTCTTAGTAAACTTTACTTGCAAACTTTGGAAGGCCTTCCCAACCATCATTTGGTGCATCCTTAAAGATTGCATACTAGTTTTAGATTATTCTAAATCACACAGTTACCTTGCTCATAAATTTGTCTTGTGAAAGATAGTTATGATCACTGTGAGTTATCCATGCTCTGTCATTAGCTGTACACACTGACCAGTTGAGAGATTTTTTTCCCCTAGGGTAATAGTGGAGTCATCCCATGTGCAGGACTGTGGAAGTCCTCAAGTGAGAAAAATACTCTGATGCAAGCTCTTTCTGAGTGCCAGCATTATCCTGTAAGCGGTAGTGATTAATTTCCCTTCTCACTGCTGCAGTGACTTCACATGCCCGTTCCCCAGGAAAACGCTCCTTTTCCTTTTCCTCAGTTCCAAGATGAGATGGGATTCCCCAGCATGGAAGATGATGGCCCGGAGGAGGAGGAGCGTGTGGCTGAGCCTCGACCTAACTTTAATACTCCTCAAGCCCTACGGTAGGCCTGTCAAAGACTTTGAAACAGAATAGAGAAAAAAATGTCTTCTGAAAAGGTTTTCAGCAATTTCAGTTAATTCCCCAGCCCTCGGGGGGTGTTAGCTGTCAGGTGAATAAGTCTCCTTATGATGGGGCAGTGCAGCTATAGACCAAGCTGTATCTGTTTGGGAAGGGAGAAAAAACAGTAGCTGGCATCCATGGCAACTTCTCCAGGTGAGTGGTGCTGGAGAGGTATGTAGGACTATGTGGCCAGCCACAAAAACTACCCCAAATTGTCATAGCCATCATGTCCCTTTTGTTCACTTCATTTGCCGTTAACGTCTGGTAAATGTTAATGAATGTTTGTTAATTACCTAGGCATTAATTGAGCAAACCATGAAGCACCTGTAATAATGCCCTAGGGTCTGAAATGTATGTACTGCCCTCTTCACATAAAGTTAGCACTTCTGTTGCTCCACCCAGAAAGTAGAGGCTTTCATTTTTTTCCCTATTTTGGCGATGGGTTTGCATAATCTATCTGTACACTGTTGTTACTCATTCTGAGTAGAAACAGAAGTCAGGATGGGGTTTATTCCATGGGTGGAATAAAGCAAAACTTAGAGATCCACAGCTTCTAATTAGTCCTGTGTTTGAACCGAACAGCATTACCTAACTAGAGAGCCTGGGATCCATTTGAAAGGTAGTAGTCTTTAAGGGAACTTACAATTTAGTGAAGACAACAAAGTATACTAACCAATGTGTAAAAGCTAGAAATACTAGTCGTACTCCATTACAATAAATACCATAATGAAACTCTAACAAGGGTCTCAGGATTTCCCCTTTGAGCTTTATGGAGGTGTTACTGACAGTGTGCGAGTTGGGTGGAGCGGGGTCTCAGTGTCACCTGCTGGTGCTAATGGTGTTCATCAGGTAAATGTAGATTCAGATTTGGCACCCGCCTGCATCTGCCAGCTGTGTGCAGGGAGGGCTCGACACAGGGACAATGGTGCGCTTGCCATGAAGCCATACAATTCAGTTTGTTCTTGATATATCTCTGGCGCCTTTCGAGCTGCTGTCTCTAGGCTTCAGCTTAAAGTGAGTATTTGTAAGCAAGTGAGTCTGTAGGCAGGCCATTTTTGAGGACACCTGGTTTTCTAGCAGCCCTTTGTCTCACCTGGATGGGGTTTCAGGGAGTTACCAGGGTGTGGCGAGCCATATTCACCAGGTCAGTTAAACTGCCATGTATTTTAGTATATTCCTTGTTGCTTCATGCCTGAAGGTCTTTGAATTTTTAAGAAACAAAAGCAGTGCCAGAACAAGAACGGAATGGGTGAAGCTAGATCAGGGATTGGAGTAATGGGTAAATCAGAGAATTTATGCTGTACTTTGAGAAGATTTTATATAATTGTTAAGAACAAGTTCCAGATTAATGTGCATATCAGTATGATATTGGAATAAGTTTCCATTTGCTCCTTGACTGCTTTGTTATCCTGATATTTCTCTGCTCCTTCCCTTTTATTTGTACACTAGAGGCCCAGTGCACAGATTTGTGCACTGGTGGGTTCCCTCGGCCTGGCCTGCAGGGATTGGGCCGAAAGTGGCCCAGGGCACGGATTCGTCCAGGGTGTGTCAGGCCCTTTGCTCCCAGTCCCGATTGGCCGGATCCCAGCAGCAAACTAACCTACTGGTTGGAGCGTCTGTCCCCTGGTGGTCAGTGCGCGTCATAGTGACTAGTCGAATGGTCAGACACTTAGCATATTAGGCTTTTATTATATAGGATTACTTAGAGGACTGATTGTAAAAAAATGGGGATGTGTTACAATTCAGAACCATCTTATTTGAATCTATGTTAACAACTTTGGGAAAAGATTTGGATAGACTAGGAGTTTTGCTTATTGGCTAAAGTGGGATTTAGGAATTATTAGTAGATAGAATGTATGCAGATTCTCTTAGACCACAATTAGCAGGAACTGGATGTGTTGTGGACCTAGGGAATTGTTCACATTCAGTTGTCTCCCTGTTGGGGGTAGGTTTGAGGAACCACTGGCCAACTTGCTAAATGAGCAGCATCGTACAATGAAAGAGCTCCTTGAGCAGCTGAAGTTGAGGAAAGCTTCAGCCAAACAGCAGCAGGAAGTAGAAAGGGTTAAGCCCCAGACCGAGAAAGTTCCTCAGACTCTGATTCTAGACCCAGCCCAGAGGAAGAGACTCCAGCAGCAGATGCAGCAGGTAAGGCTCTTCTTGGTAACGTTACTATTGGATCATCCCATGGCTTGACCTGGAGCCAAAATTAGCAGCTCTGTAAAAGTCAGAAACAGGTGTCTTGACACCCTTTGAAACCACAGGACCACAGGATCTTCACATCAGCTAGGCCCTGAGAACTTACGTTCATGAGTCACCATGGCTCAGGCAAGAATGCATGTAAGTATGTTGATAATATCCAGAATTACAGATTTCAAAGAATCCTGAGTAATCCATTCTGAATTTAACAGCCTTGGGGCCAGAATAGTTTTTCTTCTTTCTAATCTCAGTTTCTCTGGTTTGAGGTTAAACTTCTCTGATTCTATCATTTTGTTCAAGGGGAACATATCTGTAAAATTCATACTAATGTTGTACTCATAGACTATCGAGAAAGCAAAAGATGTGTAATAAAGTTGCAAATATCTTGACCAGATCTTCTGGGTTCCGGAAATGGCATCATAACACGTCACTGTATTGTTTTCTTTCCCTCCCCAGCATGTTCAGCTCTTGACGCAAATTCACCTTCTCTCCACCTCCAACCCCAGTCTCAACTCGGAGGCCAGTACTACCAGGATATTTCTTGTAAGGTTCCAAATATCCCTAACTCTAAAGATTGAGTATACAGTTACCTTGGCAAGTCATTTCTCACAGATATTCACCCACCAGAATCTATATTTCTTCTTCTCTCCTGCATGTTTGGGTAGCTATTCCTATGTCTTCCTATCTTTGCTGAAAGAACATAAATCACTGATCTTCATGAAAGGGCAGAGAGTGTATTCAGTTTTCTTAAGAGTATTGCTCTGACTTGCAGTCTTAAAGAGGTAATGTTGATTGTGAAAGAGTTTAGGATGATTTTTTTACCTGTTTTAATCCTGTAATAGGAAGGACAGTTTTTCACACAGAGGCTAAGGGCTATTGATGATAATGGCCTGGAACTTAAATCTCCTTTGTGCCCTGTTTTCCCAGGAAGAGCTGGGAACCTTTGCTCAAAGCTCCATCGCTCTTCACCATCAGTTCAACCCTAAGTTTCAGACCTTGTTCCAACCCTGTAACCTGACTGGAGCCATGAAGCTCATTGAAGATTTCAACACACATGTCAGCATTGATTGGAGTCCTCGCAAAACTGTCAAGACGGGTAGGGGACACTGGCTATTTTGTTTGAGTACTTAACACCCAGACCAACGTGTCTATTGTGGCAACAAATACCTTGAACCAGGGCCTCTGGCCAGCACGTGTCTGCCTTCACACAGGCATAATCTCCAAAACCTCATCTTTGTGGAATGCCCCCAGGAAAAAGTCAATAATCTCAGATTCCTTGATGGGCAGGGAGAAGAGCTAGATCTCATCCAGGGACTTGGTCTTCATGTCCTTAACCAGGCAGCCCAGCTTGGTGACTGGGAGGACTCCTTGTCCTCGGCCTTGCCTCTGAGAGCTCCACGGCCGAGGCCCTGGCCCCGGCCCCCCTCAGCCTTGACCTTGGCCCCAGATGCCGCTGCCAAACCCTCCTCGGAAGCAGCTGCAGCCTCCCATTTCGGGGCCCCTGGGTCCTCCGGGCCCTCCTGTAGCACCAGTGTCATCCACCATTTGGTATCTCATCAGAAAGAAGCAGCACCATATACTCTATAAATATTTGCTTTTGATTTATTTCCTGGTTTAGCAAATTAGTCGTGGTTTGGTCGGGATTTAGGTTTGTTTTTGGATTTGATTTTAAATCCATGACTCTTATAGTTAAATTGAATATAGTTGAATTTAAGTTCATTAGGTCATGGACACTGATCTCAAACTACTTTATTAGCTATATGTTGGTACTGAAAACTTAATTTAACACCAAACTACAGTAATGACTAATAGATATAGTGTCCTGTGCTTTTTTTTCCTGGTAATATTAAAATACTTGTGGAAGGAGAAGTATGGCTATAGTAGTTCTTACCTCTGGAAAGGCAGAAAAATGCCTGGAATTGAGAGACGGACAGCAAGACAGAAATGAATGGGACTGTGTCATTTCATTCCCCTTATGTTTTTTCTTTTTAATTCCCAACCTCAAGAGGAATCTGGGAGAAACTTAATGAAAGTTAAGTAAGAATGAAATAAAATAAAATTTGGAATTTGGAATACCAGATTTGTGAGGGACATTTAAGAAGTTGAAATCTTATCCTGGAAGAAAGAAAGCATTGTTGAAGGTCATTTATCTTTCAAGGATTTTAAGGGGGAAGGAGGTAAAAATATTTTTAGCATACACGGTGTGCCAGGTATTAGTAGGTACTTTCTAAATATTTGTGTTACTTAGTGTGTTAAGTGTTCCACATAGGAAAGATTAAGAAAATCAACTCTTAGTAACATTGAATGGGATTCCCATGAGGTGTATGTTAGGCTCAGAAAGTTGTGGAAACATTTGTGGGGAGAGTTGTGTGGATTTTGAGGGGATTAAGTTAGGTAGGGACAGCTCTATCTAAATGCACAAATGCAATCAGAAACTTCTATAAAGTCCTCTTTGTTCTAGAATTTAATTTATTGGTTTGTGTTTTTTTTTCTTACAGCCTGTAAATTTCCCTGTTTACCAAAGCAAGTGGCTTGGATCCTGGCCACAAGCAAGGTTTTCATGTATCCAGAGCTACTTCCAGTGTGTTCCCTGAAGGCAAAGAATCCCCAGGATAAGAATTCATTCACCAAGGCTGAGGACAAGTAAGGGTTTATTGTGGAGGGGTGAGCACAGAATATCCTGAAGAGAAGGTCTAGTTCTTTTTTCTTAAGGAGCTTAGGGAAATAAGGCCTGTATAAGATACGGACACAAAAGACAAAGAAAAGCAGTGTTGATTGTTACGTATAAAGTTCTATAATATGTGCTCGTTTCAGCATTGCCAAATACTGTTCTTTTTGGGGGATGACATGCACATTTTCCAAACATTTTAAATTATGTTTTGTCTTTTATTGATTGTAAAAAACAATCTTGTAATATGTACTATTAGGGGAAACTTAGTAAAGGAAAAAAATTTTTATCCCCTATTCTAACCACCCCAAGATAATGATTTTTCTCTTGCATTTCTTATATACCTGGTAATTATTGGCCATTTAAATACATATACTTTTTGCCTTTTTTTAACTTAATGTCTTTTTGTTGTTGTTGTTTTGTTAATCCTCATCCAAGGATATTTTTTTCCATTGATTTCTAGAGATTGGAAGGGAGGCAGGGAGGGGGAGAAAGAGAAACATTGATGTGAGAGAGACACATTGATTGGTTGCCTCCCATATGAGCCCCAACAGGGGGCCGGGGATCACATCTGCAATCCAGGTACGTGCCCTTGACCAGGAATTGAACCCACGACCCTTAGGTGTGTAGGCCAACACTCTACACTCTAACCACTGAGAACACTGGCCAAGGCTAACCTAACATCTTTTTGAAATTGTTTTTCTATTTGCTGTGACATTGTTCTTTTTTTTTTTTTTTAATATTCCAGTATCAGGTCTTTTTTTATTTTTTAGTTTATTGATTTTTTACAGAGAGGAAGGGAGAGGGATAGAGAGGTAGAAACATCAGTGCAAGAGAAACATTGATCAGCTGCCTCCTGCACACCTCCTACTGGGGATGTGCCCGCAACCAAGGTACATGCCCTTGACCGGAATCGAACCTGGGACCTTTCAGTCCGCAGGCCGCCGCTCTATCCACTGAGCCAAACCGGTTAGGGCAACATTGTTCTTTTTTATTGTTTCTGTATATTGTCCTTTAAAGCAATATTTAATGGCCCTGTGATATTTCTTTTATTTTCTACTTTTCCCCCTTCTGTTGTTTTGCAGTTGTGAGTGAGACTTCACCTCTATCCACTGAGCCAAACCAGCTTTTTTTTTTTAAAGCTCACCTGAGGACATGCTTAGAGAGAGGAGTGGGGGGGGGGGGGGGGAGAGAGAGAGAGAGAGAGAGAGAGAGGGAGAGAGAGAGAGAGAGAGAACACACACACGAATCTATGTGAGAGAGAAACATCAATCGGTTGCCAGTTGCCTTCTGTACCTGCCCCAACCAGGGATCAAACTCAACCCAGGTATGTGCCCTGACCTGAACTGAACTGGCAGCCTTTCTGTGCACAGGACAACACTTAGCCGGCTGAGCCACGTTGGCTGGGCTGTACGTAGAGCTTTTGAAAATCTTTGGTGTTCATCCCTTTCGGTAAATTCCCAAGAGTGAGATTATTTGATAAAGGCTAGGCATATTTTTATGGCTCTTGATGTTTATTGCCATCAGTAAATATGTACACAGGTAACCATAATAAATTATGATGGGAGGTAGTGTTGGTGTTGATTTCATATACTTAGCATGGTGCCCATTGTTTTTTTATATTTGTTTTATTACAGCCATTCTCCTTCCTTTGAATACAAAGTTCAAAAGGAATACAAAGCATGAAAACTCACATGTTCTGACATTCATTAGTGATTTACGCTTGGGTTTTCCTCTTCCCACCCGGTTGTGAACTTCTGATTGAGTCTTACTCATTGTACTTAGTAGCACTCAGTAAATATCTGAAATTTTTTGTTGAGTCACCACGAACTTATACAAGAATTAGATGTAGAAAAAGTGGATTGTAAAATGTGGAGTTAGTCTGGGGAGCCTTTTTAGAAGAATGGATTGTAAAGTGAGATTTTGTGACATTGTTCCTTTCTCAGTTTGTTAGTTTTAGGACTAAAGCACTTTGAAGGGACTGAGTTCCCTAAGCCTCTAATCAGCAAGTACCTTCTAACTTGCAAAACTGCCCACCAACTGACAGTGAGAATCAAGAACCGCAGCATGAACAGAGCTCCTGACAATATCTTCAAAGTAAGTGTTTTCTGTAGGCTCTACCTGGGGACTTATTAGGTCTTTGGCTGATGACTCAGGCTGTGAAAGAATTCACAACGAAACGAAGAGATAGGTGCAGAGATGTGAGATATTTCCTCTTCTTTACTGTTTTGAAATTTCATAATAATATTCCTTAGTTTGGGTCTAGTTTCATTAAATAGTTTAAAATAGTGAATGGCAGAGGGACAGTGGGCAAGCAGGGGAGGAAGAAGGCTGGAATTTCTGTATTTGTTAAGCATAGTACCCCAGCCCTCAGTTATGCCCAATGGCTTGGTCCAGAGATCATCATTTCCAGAAATCCTCCTGCCAGGGCAGGGGAGGCTTTCACCTGACTACACACCATGGGAGAGGGGATGGGGGTTTGACCTCTTCAACAGATTTAATCTGTCCTCTTCATCTTTACCTAATTTGAGTTGTAGCTTTTCATTCAATTCAAGAAGTAGGTGGTGTCTTATCCTTTTGCTAGACTCTGACATAAATATTTGTTGGCTGTGAACTCTCCTCCACATGGGATTTGGTTTTCTTCATTTTCCTATGAATAATTGTAAAATCTTTATTAATTAGAGATTAGTTTAATTTTAAATGCAGAAGCATTCAGCACATGCTGTTTATATAGATGTATATATGGATGTGTACCTGTGTGTGTGTGTATATTTGTGTCAGTCAAACCACTGCCCACCCCACTCCTCACCCTGACAGAGGGCAATGTTTCTGAAAGAAATATAACTCATGCTTCATTTCTTCATGCTCAGTTTTACAAGAAGACCAAACAGCTGCCCGTCTTCGGGAAGTGCTGTGAAGAGATCCAGCCACATCAGTGGAAACCACCTGTAGAAAGGGAAGAACACCGGCTTCCATTCTGGTTAAAGGTAAGCCCTCCTCTTCCAGGACCAGGGGCAGCAGGTCCCTAAAAACCTGGCAGAAACATCAGTTCCACTTTACACCTCTAATGCTTTAGTTGTAGAACCAGGATTTAAGAAATCTTCCTCATTCGTCCTTCTCTCCTTCCTCTCCCCTCTCCCCAGGTGGGTACAATGATAGTTTCCTATAGGAAACTCAAAGAAGAGTTTCTAGAGTATGCAATGGGAATGTAGTCTTTGTAGAAATTTTATATTGTGCAGAAAAATCCTTCTTGAAAAGATTGCCTTGAGACTGTCCTGACAAAGTTCCTAAAATCTAGAAAACCCTATTTTATTTTTTACCAAATTGTGACACCTGCTAGATCAGAGTGTTTTTGTTCCCAATAGGCCAGTCTGCCATCCATCCAGGAGGAAATGCAGCACATAGCTGATGGTGCCAGAGAGGCAGGAAATGTGACTGGCACCACTGAGATCAAGCCGGACCCAGATGTAGGAAAAACCAGCTTGGAATTGGAGAGTGAGACTCGGTACCCACTGCTACTGCCTAAGGGTGTAGTCCTGAAACTGAAGCCGGTTGCCAACTGTTTCTCCAGGAAGGGCTGGAGACAGAAGCGGTCATCAACCTTGAAGCCCCTCCTTATCAGACCCAGCCCCTCTCTCCAGCCTACCTCCAATTCTGGGAAAATACCGCCTAGGTCAACTCAGTCAGAAGCCCCTCCAAGCAAAATGGTGGTCCGGATTCCTCAAACGATCCAGCCAGCCACCGTCTTACAGACGGTGCCAGCTGTCCCTCAACTGAGGGTCACTGGAGGTGATAGTTTTGAGTCCTCAACAGTATTGCCTACTATACCCGCCGAGGCCAGGACCAGCTTCCCTCTGTCCGAGCCCCAGACCCTGTTCTCCTCTGCTCCTGTGCCCAAGATAATGCTGCCCTCACTTGCCCCTTCTAAGTTCCGAAAGCCATATGTGAAACGGAGAGGCCCAAAGAAAAAGGGGACCAAGGCCTCTCTCTGTCTGAAGTCTGTCCCCCTCATCAACTCTGCACCTGTTATCTTCACTGTTCCTGCCACCACTGTGAAGGTTGTGAGCCTTGGCAGTGGCTGCAACATGATTCAGCCTGTCAATGCGACTGTGGCCCCGAGTTCTCAGACCCTTCCCATCACCACACTCTTGGTTAACCCTACTTCCTTCCCATGTCCACTGAACCAGCCCCTTGTAGCCTCCTCCATCCCACCCTTAATTGTTTCTGGCAACTCTATGAATCTTCCTGTACAGTCCACCTCTGAAGAGAAGGCCCAAGTGAATATGGATGTTGGTTGTCCTTTGGATGAAGGGAAAAATGCCTTTCCAGGCCTGGTACCCAAATTAGAACCCCAGGACCTATCTCCTCTCTGTGCCCCTGTCTTCCCCAAAAAGGAGCACAGCCCAGGACCTCTACCATCAGACGGAGTGTGCCAGGAAGACTTGTCAGAAAACAGTGCCTATATCTGGACTGTTGTGAAAACGGAGGAGGGGAGGCAAGTTGTGGAACCACTGCCTCCGGGCTTCCAAGAACCTCTAAGCTCTCCTCCTGAAAATGTAGAGAAAATTGTCAAGATGGAACCTAAAGATCCTGGGGAGGAAGTCCCCCGGGCATCCCCGAAGCACACCATTTATGATGACGTCAAAGAAGAGTACTCTGTGGAATTGGACACTGGCTTCCCAAGTGAGGAGTCAAGTGGTGCAAGAGAAGCAAAGAAACAGACAGTCTTACAGAAGGAGGAGGAGAGGAACCAACTAGCTAAAACCCCGTCAGCTTCTCAAGAGCCTCCTGATGGAGGAAACTCAGGAAATGTGAGCAAAGAATCGCCAAAGAATGCTTCATCCTCCATTGACCCTGAAACAGTGCTGAGCAGCCTCCCCGGGAAACCTGAAGACGTACTCAGCATTGATGGTCAGTTAGCAGGGACCCCAGCGAGGCCAGAAACTGGAGGAGAGAAGGATGGGCCCGAGGAAGAGGAAGAAGAGGACTTTGATGACCTTACCCAAGACGAGGAAGATGAGATGTCCTCAGCTTCTGAGGAATCTGTGCTCTCTGTCCCAGAACTCCAGGTGAGCGATGGGAAGTATTCGCAAGTATTTTGTGGACTCAGTAATATCAGTAGGTCACCTTGGTTGCCGCACTATAGATATTTCTAAAATCATTTTTATTTGCCTTTTGAAATAAAATTTTGGGTTTGTAGTGAGGAGAGGGAAAGGGTGAAATTTGACTCATTAGATTTGACTTAAACACATTTAAATGTTGCGTTGAATCACCTAAGCACATTTAAATGCCTAAAAAATGGATCATAAGTGTGGACTGTGGCAAAGGAAAACTATCTTGAGGGTAGAGGGGACCTCTCCCCCATCCCCTCCCCCAGTCAGCTGTCAGGCAGCAATCCCAGCTACACCTATGACTCCATAACTCAGAGAACCAGGCTCTGATAATTGTGGTAACCTCTGTGGTGACCCCCACAGGTCCCCCCTGCCATATACTAAAAAATGGATCATAAGTGTGGACTGTGGCAAAGGAAAACTATCTTGAGGGTAGAGGGGACCTCTCCCCCATCCCCTCCCCCAGTCAGCTGTCAGGCAGCAATCCCAGCTACACCTATGACTCCATAACTCAGAGAACCAGGCTCTGATAATTGTGGTAACCTCTGTGGTGACGCCCATAGGTCCCCCCTGCCATATATGCGCGTGCGCGCGCGCACACACACACACACACACACACTCACTCTGATTGATTAACCTCAGTTCCTCTTGAAAAACTGCAGTTGGCACTTGATGAGCCATTACCAGCCCTTATGAACACTCTTTGGGGGGTGAGGGTTGCAGGAAACAATGGAGAAACTGACCTGGCTCGCATCTGAAAGGCGCATGAGTCAGGAGGGTGAGTCTGAGGAAGAGAACTCTCAGGAAGAGAACTCTGAGCCTGAAGAAGAGGAGGAAGAAGAAGCAGAAGCAGAAGGAATGGAAAGCCTGCAGAAAGAGGATGGAATGACAGATGAAGCCATGGGAGACCTTGCTGAGAAACCTCCCACTACCTTCGCCTCACCCCAAACTGCTCCAGAAGAGACCAGCAGGACCCCAGCAGGTGAGTTTGGCAAGCCTGTATGAGGGGCAGGTCTCAGTTGGCCTCATTGTCTAAAGACGTGTGCAGAGTGGCTCGCTTGTAAGCCAGGTGTCGACTTCAGAAAAACAACTCTGGGTCACCCCTGCAACTTCCCTTCCCCAAAACGGAAGTTTAACTTGGTACCTTTACAGACGAGATGCTCAGAAATTTAAAATTTTATTCCCATCAGCTGTTAGATTTGTAGCAGGTTTATCTAAATTTTTATACTGGTTCTTTTAAAAAAAAAATATGTTTTTATTAATTTTTAGAGAGGAAAGGAGAGGGAGAGAGAAATAGAAACATCTATGAGAGAGGCACATCGATCGGCTGCCTCCTGCCTGCACCCTACTGGGGATCGAGTATGTGCCCTAACTGGGAATTGAATCCAGGATCTCTTCGTTCACGGGAGGATGCTCAATCTATTGAGCCACACTAGCCAGGCTATACTGGTTCTTCATTCATCTTTCAAGCATGAGGCTAAAACTGTGTTTATTTCAGAAAGCACTGCTTATTCCTCACCAAGACATAGTCCCTTGAGAGCTCGACATAGGCCATACTCACTCTTAAGACTGCTGACTCTGCATAGAGCTGACCTGTCAGCGACAGACATGCCTCTCATGCCATTTTCCCAGCAGCTTTTCTCCTGATTTGTTTCATACCATTAAAAGGGTTTGCATGGGGTGGGCGCATGTGGTGGGATGGGAAGAGCAGGGGTTGCAGCGATGAAACACTTTTTCTCACGTACTCTAAGGAGAGAGCATCAAAGCTTCTGGAAAGGGCCGGAGCAGTCATCGAGCTCGGAATAAGAGGGGCAGTCGGGCCCGAGCCAGCAAGGACACCTCCAAACTGCTGCTGCTGTATGATGAGAACATTCTCGAGCGGGATCCACTCAGAGAGCAGAAGGATTTGGCCTTTGCTCAGGCTTATCTGACTAGGGTAGGCGAATGCTACTTCCTGTACTGCCATTCCCTCTGAATGAGGCTACTCCTTTAAGGAAGATGTTTTTAAAATGTTTGCTTTTCAGGCTCCACAACAGCCTTCTATGCCTCTGCCTTTGCTCTCCTGGAATTACCTAAAGATCTGTGAGAGAACCATAAGGAGATAGAATTCAGTTTTAAGCAGGTTTACTGTTAGTACCTTAGCATCATCCCTCTATTGCCTAGAAATGGGGAAAAGATGGACACCACCATCATCAGTAAGAGGTTGTGACTTCCCTGGGTCGGCTAAAGTAGGACCCTTACTGAGCCCTTGGCTTGTGCAGACAGACCTCTGGTACACGGCCAGAGAGAGGATCTCAGAGAGGCACCCGGGCTTCAGAGGGAGGAACCAACCTGCTCCTTGAGGTTGTCCTGGCTGGCGGTCTCATTCTTTTGCTATCCATCTGGTTCCTTTATCCCCCCCAAGCAAAGTGGAGTACTAGCAGTGCTAGTCACGACTTTCTTGTCTCCTCATACTTACTAACAATCCTAATTTTGTATTAGTTACCCTCAAATGATACCATGCTGAAATATAGGGATGGAATACTTATCTATTTCAGTATGGAGCTGAAGTCAGGAAGGATAGAGGCTAGGGCTGTGAGCTAGAAAAAAAGCTTACCTCGTTTTGTGGGGAAAATGGCTTTTCAGTTGCCCCTTAGCAGAAAAGGAGCTGTATGTACCTTGCTCATTGTCTTCCATTAATGGTCGGATCTTAGGGCCTGTTAGAGGAAGGACAATTCTTAGAGCTCTCTAACAATAACTCCTCATCCTTTCTTGGTATTGCCTTTTTCTGTTGCAACGCAAAGAAAGGGTACTGGTGACTGATAGTCTTCCTGTACAGGTACGAGAAGCCCTGCAACATATCCCTGGCAGGTATGAGGACTTCCTTCAGGTTATCTATGAATTTGAGTCAAGTACTCAGAGGCAGACGGCTGTGGATCTCTACAAAAGCCTGAAAATTCTTCTCCAAGACTGGCCTCAGCTGTTGAAGGACTTTGCTGCTTTCCTGTTGCCCGAGCAAGCTCTGGCCTGTGGATTAGTGAGTAGATGGGCAAAGACAGCACAATGGGATTCCTGGGTCAGAGCGAGATTGGATTTGAATAGAGAGTTGGTTAACACTGTTCCAGTCTCCCGACTACTTCCAGTCAGATAGCCTTTTCCTAGCACAAGGTGGTAAGAGCCTCCTTTTCAAGAATGATCTTCCCAATTCCATTCTCCCAAGTACGTTACATGGGACTAGGAGGGTTTTACCTTCAGTTGCCAGTGAAGCCCTTAGTTAAATCATATGCCTATTGCTCCTCATTGTTGTAAAACAGGCATTCGTTGAACAAATATTTAATGAGTGCCTACTATGTGTCAGGCAAAGTCCTAGGTGCTACGACTATAGTAATTATAAAAAAATCCTTGTCCTCATGGAGTTTACATTCTCATGGGGAAAGTCATATGATAAACAGTGTTATGTAAAGTGCTGAGGTCTGAGAGAACCTTGGGGTATTTGTGGACTCCAAAGAAATAACCCTGAGGACTAGCTGTGAAAGACATGAGTTGATTAGGACTTGACATGTGCACTGGCTTCCATCTGGGATGTTTTCCATCAAGTCCCATCTGGCCTGCTGATAGGCCACCCTGGGGGCAGCCAGCTGGTGCTGTTGTCTAACCACCACCCAGACTTCCTCAGCACACGGTTTTATCCTAGAGCACAGAAAACAAAGCAAAATGGGCACGCAGGGAAGGGGGTCATGCCCGAGAGCAAGCTGTGTGAAATCAGAACACTAGCTGTTTGCAATCCCGGCTCACATCTGGAAGCAGTTCCTCTTTGGCCTTTCTTAGTCCGAATTGCTGGCCAGGCTCCGAAGGTCTCACCGTCCACTTAAAGGCCTTCTGTATATTCCCACAGGGTGGGAAGGGGAGTTGGAGCTTGGGAAAGGGCCTATGTTCCCATTTACCATACAAACAGTAAAATACATTATTGTAAATATATATACAGAGTATGGCAAATGTAGGTTTATAGTTGTGAGTATGTGAAACACAGTTTATTCTTGTATTATTTGTTAATTATTGTAGTATTTTCCATATGAACAACTATAAACATACTTTTGTCCTGCCCTGTATATTATAAAAATTATAAAATAGACATAAATAGTATATAATGATTTATAGTAATAATGCTCTATAGAAAAATAAAGTAGAAAAGGGGAATAGAGAGTAGTAGGTAAAATGGGTGAGGGGTAGGGTGTTGTAATTTTATACATGGAAGGTTGGGAGAGCCACTGTGATAAGATGACATTTGAAATGTTGGAGATCCAGTATCTAAACATGAGGGATATCCTGGTAGTTCTCATTTTTTTGTCATGACTGGTAGGAATAAAGGATATAATGAGAATTTTCTGATAGTCTTAAGGCAGTTCAGCGGTAATGGAATGATTATACATATCATGCCAATCTTCTCTTTCTGTATTATGAGAATCAAATGAGTGCATATGTGAAAATTCTTCGTAAACTGAATGCTACATCAGTTTGAGTGTCTGATTTCACAATGCATGAAATAGTAAACAACTTGAGATATGTACATCTCTTGAATCTTTCATTCACATCATAGTTACCTTGGACCAGTAGACCCCAGTAACCCAAGGTGGATAGATGCTAGAGGTCGTTAAAAAGATCACACAGTTGTAAACTGGAGCCTTCCATCCCCTAGTCCCCCAACCCATTTTGTCTTGGTTCTTAGCTTAGAACCCTCACATCCTGCTCTAGCTGTATAGGTGACTCCTCTTTTGCTCTCTTTTCACTCTGGTAGTTTGAGGAGCAGCAGGCTTTTGAGAAGAGTCGCAAGTTTCTCCGGCAGCTTGAAATTTGCTTTGCGGAAAACCCCTCACATCACCAGAAGATTATCAAGGTCCTCCAAAGTTGTGCAGACTGCCTGCCCCAGGAGATTACTGAGGTATTTTTTCCTGTCCTTCCTTTCCATTTTCATCTAGGCCTTAGGCCCTTCCCTTCTCCCTTTCCCTAACTTAGCCTATATCCTCTTGCTTCTGGGTACCATGCACTTCTAGAGGAGATGAAGAAGGCAAGGACCTTTTAAGGCTTGTCTGTAGCATAATACGCTGGAATAGGGGTTGATTGCCACCTGAAACCGGATCCTGACTGACCTTCCCAGGCTCAGGAATGCCCTCAGTGCCCTGGAAGGAAGAGGTTCAAGGAAGGAGGTGATGATGGGCCCAGAAGAGGCTTATTGCTGTGCTTGGGTTAATGCCTGATCTGGAGATCAGTAGGGCAGGATAGAGAGTGTTGTTATTAAGAATCAAACTTATTGTAAATACTCCTCCTGTGTAGGCAAGCAAGGAGGGAGAGGAAATTCAAGAACTTTTATCTATCAAAGAGAGGCTTCTGTGTGTCTCCCAGTTGACTAGAAAAATAGAACTTGGAAGTATATGGGACTGGTTTGGAATATGGCCTAGAGAGGATCTGGGGATTTCATCTTTCCCTCTACACCTCTTCCTAGCTCAAGGCACAGATGTGGCATCTCCTCAAGGGCCACGACCACCTGCAGGATGAGTTCTCCATCTTCTTTGACCACCTGCGCCCAGCAGCTAGCCGGATGGGTGACTTTGAAGAGATCAATTGGACCGAAGAGAAGGAATATGAGGTAAAAGCCCTGAGGCTGCACTAGGGTTGTGAAGGGAGAAGGCCTTGTGTGGGAGGGGTAATCTGCCCATAGTCTATGTTGAGTGGCACCAACTTCTCCCCAGTTTGATGGCTTTGAAGAAGTGGCACTGCCTGATGTGGAAGAGGAAGAGGAACCTCCCAAGATACCCACAGCCCCAAAGAACAAAAGAAGAAAGGAGATTGGGGTACAGAATCATGACAAGGTACACCAAGTTGTTGGAGATGGCCCATTTTTCATTAATCAAGACTTGAGTTTCTGCCTAAATGTTTCTCTGGCAAAGCTCCCGGGATCTGAGGCTGCTGTGGACATGCAGAGCCCATGGGAAGAACAGTGCAGTTGCTAAAGAGGCCCCACTCTGGAGAGCTTCATTAGAAGGATCTGTTTCCCATTTTCTTTCTAGTTCAGAGCTATTTCTCTTGCCCTTGGGTCTTAACTTTTTCTTTTCTGTTTATGTGAAAAAATAGAACTAAGATTGCCCATTTTAATAATGATAATGGCTAGTCCTTAGGTGTGTTACAAAATATATATCTCTTGGAAATATTTTCAATGGATTATTCACTCATTTAATTCTCACAATAATCCTATGAAGAGATTGCTCTTGTTTGCATTTTACAGAAGAGGAAACTGAAGTGCAGAGAGAGGCCATTGCCTGAGTCTCATATTTAATAAGTGGCAATGCTAGGATATGAACCCAGGGAATCCAGCTCCAGAGCCTGCTCATACTGCTCTCGAATGCTCTTCAAGAAGTAGTCTTTTTATTTTATTATTTTAAAAATACGTTTTTATTGATTTTTTTTTTTTTTTAGAGAAAGAGGGAGAGGGACAAAGAGTTAGAAACACTGATTGGCTGCCACCTGCACACCCCCTACTGGGGATTGAGCCTGCAACCCAGCACTTGCCCTGACCAGGAATTGAACCGGTGACCTCTTGGTTCATGGGTCGAGGGTAAACCACCAGCTGGGCAAGAAGTAGTCTTTTTTTTTTTTTTTTTTAATCCTCACCCCAGGATATTTTTCTATTGATTTTCAGAGAGAATGGAAGGGAGGGGGAGAGACAGTGAGAGAGAAACATTGATGTGAGAGAGACACATCGACTGGTTGTCTTCCGCATGTGCTCGACCAGGGTCAGGGATGAAGCCTGCAACTGAGGTATGTGCCCTTCACCAGAATCAAACCCAGGACCCTCAGTCTGCAGGCCGAAGCTCTATCCACTGAGCCTAACCAACTAGGGCAAGAAGTAGTCTTTTTAATCCATGTCCCTTTACTCCATGTCTCTTACTATTTCTTAGGGAAGAACTTTATAGGAGCTGAGTGACCATGGGCACTCAGGGATGAAGCCTGCAACTGAGGTATGTGCCCTTCACCAGAATCAAACCCAGGACCCTCAGTCTGCAGGCCGAAGCTCTATCCACTGAGCCTAACCAACTAGGGCAAGAAGTAGTCTTTTTAATCCATGTCCCTTTACTCCATGTCTCTTACTATTTCTTAGGGAAGAACTTTATAGGAGCTGAGTGACCATGGGCAATTTATTTAATATCTCTTCAGTTTTTTCATCATCAACGGGAATAAATATGGTACTTATGTCTTGGGTATATTAAATAGCATCATTGAGTGAGCCTTCCATATGTACAAAGCCTCTTTCAAGGTGATTGGGAGGGGAGAGCTCAAAGCACAGGGAGACAGAAACAAAGACAGATGAGTGAGTAGATCATATCTTATGTTGGAGCTCTCCAGTGTCTTTGCCTCAGATTATATTTGACTTAAATATCCCTTGAGCCATCTAGGCAACTGGGATATGTCAGTTTTGGGGTCATTTAAGAATTGTTTTAGGAATTCATAATAAGCTTTAATCGAGTTTAGATATTGATTTCCTCAGGCAATATAAAGATGGTATATAATAAAAGAGAGAGGATGGGATTGGCAGGGCCAGAACAAGCTATTTCTCTCTTGCTACCAAAATGCTTGGCAGCTAACCAAGCCCAGATATCTCCTAGGAGGCTGAGTGGCCAGATGGCGCCAAGGACTGTGCCTGTGCATGCCATGAAGGAGGTCCTGATTCCAAACTGAAGAAGAGCAAAAGGAGAAACTGCAGCCACTGCAGCAGCAAGGTGAGGGCAGGGACTGTACCGAGAGGCGTCAGAGCTGCCTACCTAGGTCAACCTCCAGCTTGCCTTACTGTTGGGGTATTGTTTGCTACCACAAATGTGAACCTTGTATGCACACATAGAATACAAACAGAATCTTTTAAAAATATATTGTGGGTTTTGCTTTTTTAAAAATATATTTTATTGATTTCAGAGAGGAAGGGAGAGGAAGAGAGAGAAACATCAATGATGAGAGAGAGTCAGTGATCAGCTGCCTCCTGCAACGCCCCCTACTGGGGATTGAGCCTGCAACCTTGGCGTATGCCTTGACCAGGAATCGAATTGTGACCTGGTTCCTAGGTCGAAGCTCAACCACTGAGCCACACCGGTCCGGCAGATTTTACTTTTTAAAGAGAATCCTGTGGATAAAGTTTTTGGAGTTGGAAAAAAATATCAATTAGTTCAAATAGTTCCTTCATAGATTTTATTTTTTAATGAAGTAAGCCTGTGTCAAGAAAACAGACCCTAAAGGTAATGCTGGCTCTCTAGGTAGAGTAGAGCTGGTTGGCAGCAAAAATACAGTCCTTGGTAGAGGAGCTGTTGAATCCCATACTCTATTCTGGGCATTTAAAATCCTTGAAGCAGGCGTGCATCTTGATTGACTTGCTGAGCATCCCAACAGGGCTTCTTCCCTTGGTTGGCCCCCTAAGACAAAGGAGGGTCAGGAGACCCTTGACCCACAAGGCCATCCCTGCAGGTCTATGACAGCAAATCCTACAAGAGCAAGGAGCCCCATGAGTTGGTGGGTGGCAGCCCCCACCGAGAGGCCAGTCCTATGCCTGGTGCTAAGGAAGCTGGGCAGGGCAAGGATGTGATGGAGGAGGAAGCCCCAGAGGAACGAGAAACCATTGAGGCAACCCAGAGCAGGACTGGCAGGAGTACCCGAAAGGGAGAGATGCCTATTTCAGGTGAGTGATCTGGCTGCCAGTCCAGCCTTTCTCCATTTATTTCTGTCTTATTCTTACACATGTCAAGTAAAAATGTATTTGACCCTGGGTAAATAACAGTGTTTTCAAGGACTGTTACTAATAAACCAATAGGAAACCCTTCTCCTGTTCAGCCTTAATTTTCTCTCCTGTGGCCTTAATACTCTTGCAGAACTAAAAATGCTACAAAATCAACATGATTCAGCCTTTTCTTGTATTCCCATTCCTGAATCCCTTCTCTTTATCTCCAGATCCTCTGTGATCTGCATTCTAAAGACTCCAGCATTATCAGCTTTGAGAGGCAGATATTGATTGATTGATTGATTGATTGATGTCTAGAGAGAGCGACATCGTTTTGTTGTTCCACTTATTTATGCATTCATTGGTTGCTTCTTGTATGTGCCCTGATGGGGATTGAACCTGCAGCCTTGGTGTATTGGGACGATGCTCTAACCAACTGAGCTATTAGGCTAGGGGTGCAAATATTATTTCTTTTTTTTAAATGTTTTTGTTACTGATCAGTGAGAGAGAGCAATCGATCAGCTGTCTCTTGCATGCCTCCTCCTGGGGATCAAGCCCACATCCTGGGCATGCGCCCCAACTGGGAATTGAACCGTGACCTCTCCATGCATGGGGCGACACTCAGCCAACTGAACCACACCGGGCCAGGGCTTATTTCTTTAGACGTGACTTTAGCCCTGACCCCCACCTCACTCTTTTGGATTAGAATTTTGTCACAGTAGCTTATCAGAGTGACCCTGTGGTAATTTGAAGTCAGTCCTTAGTTGCATCTCCACCCTATCCACACTGTTAGATCTTTGTTTCCTCCTAAGCAGGATTGGCAGTGGGGAGCACTTCGCTGTTCCCTCAAGAAGTGATTCTTACAGAACGGCAGCTCCTCCTGGATGGCCCACCGCCCAGCTCACCAGAGACTCCTCTGCTTCCCTCCAACACTGGAGTTGTTCTAGACACTAGGACAGACCAGGTCAAACCGGAAGTTTCCTGCTGCACGGAGTTCCCCAGGCTTCAGGATGAGGGGGAGGGCCACCAGGCAGCAGGTGACGCAGAGTCTTCCACGCCGGTGTGCGATGCTTCGGAAACTCAGTGTCCTGGAACTCTTGAACCCCCTGCTTCTTTCCCGAGTCCTGTTTCCTCAAGGACCAGAGACTTAGGGAGAGGACAGGTGTCTGGGAAACCAGATACTCAAGAGAGCTGGCTGCCTTCAAGCAGAACTGGTATGAAGACATCAGACAAGAAGTCCTCAGTCCATGAATCTTCATCAGAAATTGACACCTCAGAGACTTCTCCCAAAACCCAATGAAGACATCAGACAAGAAGTCCTCAGTCCATGAATCATCAGGAATTGACACCTCAGAGACTTCTCCCAAAACCCCTAAAGGAGGTTTGGCTAAAGACAGTGGAATACAGGTCAGGGGTCCAGAAGGGGAGCAGCAGCCAAAGGCCACAGAAGTCACCGTATGTGCGAACAACAGCAAGGTCAGCTCCACCGGGGAAAAGGTGGTCCTGTGGACACGGTAGGTAGGGGTGGATGGGTGTTTATAAAGCACGTGGACCACATCCATGACACTAACTTAGGACTCATCACAATATATGGTTACAGGGAAGCTGACCGTGTGATTCTCACCATGTGCCAGGAACAAGGAGCACAGCCCCAGACTTTTCGAATCATCTCCCAGCAGCTAGGAAATAAGACTCCTACTGAGGTAAGTGGGCGAGGGGAGTCCTCTACAGTTTCAAATCCAGGAGAGGCAGGAAGAGGACAGGCTGGCCGACTAAGAGGAGGTAAGATTGTAAAGCTCTGCTGAGGAAGGGCCTGGCTTCCCAGGGTGTTTGTAGTGGTTCTAGAAGAGAAAGGGCATTGGATTTCGAGGTGGAAGCCCCAGAGATTCCATTGTAGTTTCGGTTTTAGGAGTGACTTTGGACAAAATATTTAGCCACTTAACCTGAATTTTCTTATCTTTAAGGAGGACCTTATTGTGTGGAGAAAACAAGGTTGTTTAACTTGGTATATAATGCTTTATGTTACTTAGAGACAGGGAACACCAACCTTCCCCTCTCCTCCTAGGTTTCCCACCGTTTTCGAGAACTCATGCAGCTCTTCCACACCGCCTGCGAGGCCAGCTCGGAGGATGAAGACGATGCAACCAGCACCAGCAATGCAGACCAGCTCTCTGACCATGGGGATCTTCTGTCTGAGGAGGAGCTGGATGAGTGAGACTAAGGAAGCATGTGGGAAATGTGTGTGTAGGATCAAAACCACAGGCACCCTGACGAGGGAAAGGGTGGTTGTACCTTGCTTGTGTGCCCCTTGAGCTCGGTCTAGAGCTGAAGGAGCAGGGGCCAAGGACAGGACAAAGCTAGCCTGAGGGTTCTCACGGCTCTGCCATTCTCCGCCTCACTCAGTGTTTGTTACGAAGTCTTTAGAGTCATTTTGTAAATAGTGTTGAGGGAGAGGGGCTCGGCTCCTTTTCTACCCTTTTTGAACTTTTTGTCCTGATGGTACACATTTGTTGTGATGTAAGGCACAGTGATTCTATATAAATGTAATAAGTGCATATGTTGGTGTAGCCAGTCCCAAGACATAGCTCCTGCATCCAGCACTTTTTATTGTAAACTAGTTCTTTCCTTTTCTTGGAACTTCAGTCCATAAGGCTGTCACCGTGCTGGTAGCACTGGGCCAGACTGCATAGCTCCTGCAGCAGCTCCCCTAGGTCATCCTGTTCCACCCCAGCGTCCATGAAGCTGGCCCAGCGCCGCAGGTTGAGTTTGGTGAGTTCCTTGGCCAAGTCTCCCAGGGTCCGGTTCAAGGATGAAGAGGAACAGAGGGCCCCAAGCACTGGGATGCTCTCCCCTGCCGCAGAGGGAGAGAAAAGAGACCTGTAGTCAGATTGTTCCTTCACCCTGAGACTGCCGTATCGATAGGGAAGTCTGGGTCTTTAGTTGACTTGATTATAAAGTAAACTCAATAAATTTTGTGTACTGTCCCCTTAGTATACCAGTACTCCAGAGGAAGAAAAGTCTTTGGGAACCATCGAATGAATAAAGAAATGTTTGACTGTGACTTTAAAGTATCTTTATCCAGGAAGTGATAGAGTAAATCTTGGTTTTCGTCGTCTCCTACATACCTGCCCCAGTTGGGGGATTATCCAGAACCAAGCCCTGCTGGCTGAGGCTTGAGGAGAAGAGGCAGGGATAAGGAGGAACCACCTTGCAGGGAGTCAGCAGCAGATGAGAAGAACTGGGGACAAGAGAATAGCAGCTGAGTGAGAAAAGGTCAAGGGAGGTCTGAGATCTAGGAGGAGAGCAGGAGCAAGTGTTTTACTAACCTCCTGGCTCTAGGCTGCTGCTGTTGTAAATATTGGGCCAAGACTTCCTCCCCAGTGGTGCAGGCATGGAGCAGGGAAGGCAGAGGTGTACCTGGGATGAGCTGACTGCCAGAACAAAGACAAAATCACCTTGAATATACGGGTGCTCGGGTTTTTTTCTTTTTTAAAGTGGGACAGAGGGAAGAAAAGGGCAATACCATGAGAATGTCCAGAGGTATTAGAGAGAAAAGAACACGAAACAGAGGCCTGACAAGGGCTCCTAAGGACCACCAGTCCTCACCTGGTGTGGCATGCTTTGTCTAGACCCCTCAGCACCACTGACTGGGCAAAGCAGTGTGTTCCAGAAGGGTCCCCACATGCAGACAGTGGAGTCCAAGGGGTGGCCCCTCCGAGCTGCATCAGGGTATCGGGAAGGGACTGGCTTGGACCCAAAGGGAAGGGGATGGATGCTCCTGCTGTCACCACCTTAAAGGTAAGGACAAAACCAAGTTACAGGGCCTTTTCTCAGTTCTGACCTAACCCCTCACAAAGCTTCATACCTTTTTCCCAGAGAAGTTCAGCATATCGGCCAGATGAACCATGGGAAGTGGTGAGGAATATAGGCGATACGGAACAGTGATTGTGTCCAGGGCTGTAGCCAGGATGGCACTGCAGTGGAAGGGCAGAGTTGCCTATAATGAGGAGACCAAAAAGAGCACTCAGTCTCTCAGCTCTGGGAAGAGCGTGTGGAAGCGGGATAGTACTGGCAGGGAGATCTGGGGGCTTGGAGACAAATCGGTGTGATTGGCCTAAGGCTGGTTAGACACAGGATGTGATCTAAGAGGCCCCATCATAGCTGAGTTCAAGCTGAGGCTTCAAGAACAGGCTGACTTGGTGAATGGGACAGTCCCTTTTACTAGCAGAACAAGAGCATTGAGCCTTACATCATAACGCAGGTGAGGGAAGTTGACGGGTGGCTCAGGTCTCAGCCCCAGGCTCCCACCCAAGGATAAGGGGCAGACTAGAGAGCTGTGAGCAGACAGGTGCACCAGACCAAAAGCTGTGTTTAACAGACGGTAGATGTTCTTCTGGGGCTCCTGCTGAAAGAAAGAGGAGTTTGTTCTCAGCACTTCCTCACTGGGCTATCATTCCCTCATTTCTCCCTCCACTGAGGTTTCTCTTCCCAGTTCTACTCACCCCAAGAGCGTAGGGACCGGGGAGCAGGCCCCAGGTTATTATCCCGCGCCCTGAATACTCATCACGTAGCAGCTCTGCGGCCTTCGCACCTACACCAGAGAAGCCATCGTGCAGGTCGCACAGGATCTGGAAGCCCTAGAGAGGTGAAGGATGAGCAGAATGAGCCTTGGTGGGTGTGGCTCAGTTGAGCATAGTCCCAGGCACCAAAAGGTTGCTGGTTCTCGGTAGAGGTTGTGCAGGAGGCAGCCAACTGATGTGTTGCTCTCACATTGTTTCTCTCTCTCCCTCCCTTCCTCTCCCCTTTCTCTCTTCAAAAATCAATTTAAAAACCTTAAAAAAAAGTAGAAGAGTTTACCCCAGTGTCCACTGTGCCCCTCAGCTACCTGCAGGTAATCACATTCCTCCACGTAGAAGTGCAGCCTGTCCTCCAGCTCTTCTAGGTACCTGGGTTCCTTCAGGACACTCTCCCCTTGGCCAAAAGCCTCCAGGCGGCCTGCTTCACTATCGTGCATAAACACAATCCAGGACTTACAGGGTCCTGCTCCTCCCTCTACCCCTCCACCCCCACCCCAAGATCTCCCATCCAACATTGGTAGGGACCCAGTTTCTTGCCTCACAGCCTCTGGGGCGCCCCATACCCATCGTGGTTGTACTTGTGAATCATACAGATGCTCCGGGGATGGAGGTGCACTCTGAGGAAGTCTGACCAGACCCTGATGCTGCCCTCTGTGGGGACAAGTGGCTCTGGAGTTGCAGCAGTGGTGAGTGGTGTGAGACCTGAAGGAAAATGAGAGGAAATTCACCTTCTCCATGTTCCCGCTGTGCCCACTTCCCATCCTGCAGCACTTGGACCGCTCTCACCTTTGCCGTTGGAAATGGATTTGACCCTCCAGAGACCATCACTGCTCAGCACTCCCTGGGAGGGATGAGAAAAATCTGTACTTAGTTCCAGGCGTCTAGGGCAGAAGGCTCACCCTCCCTGATCTCGCTGGCCACACCCTGCAGCCTCCATAGCAGCACAATTTACCATGGCGAAGATCTGGAAACAGCCTAAGTGCCCATCAGCAGATGAGTGGATTAGAAAACTGTGGTACATCTACACAATGGAATACTACTCTGCTGTAAAAAAGAAGGAATTCTTACCATTTGCAACAGCATGGATGGAACTGGAGAGCATTATGCTAAGTGAAATAAGCCAGTCAATGAAAGAAAAATACCACATGATCTCACTCATTTATGGATAATAAGGACCATTATAAACTGATGAACAGAAATAGATACAGAGGCAGAGCAGCCTCGAACAGACTATCAAACTACAGCGGGAAGGCCGGGGAGGGTTGGTGGTGGTGGGGGTGGTGGGGGGGGGGTAAAGAGATCAACCGAAGGACTTGTATGCATGCATATAAGCATAACCAATGGACAGAAGACGCTGGGGAATGTCAAGAAGGGGGGAAAAAGGAGACATATATAATACTCTTTGTAATACTTTAAGCAATAAAACAAAATTAAAAAAAAAAGAAATATATAAAAATTTTTTTTTAGAAAACCCAAAAAAATAGGGCAGAAGGCTCACCCTCCCTGATCTCGCTGGCCACACCCTACAGCCTCCTTTCTGTTTATGTAGTCACAGTCCTTTTTGTTTATTAATTTTTAAAATATATTTTTATTGATTTCAGAGAGGAAGGGTGAGGGAAAGAGAGGAACATCAGTGATGAGAGAGAATCATCCATAGGTTGCCTCCTGCACGCTGCCCCCTACCCCCGCCCAGGCATGTGCAACCCAGGCATGTGCCCTGACCAGGAATTGAACCGTGATCTTCTGTTTCATAGGTTGATGCTCAACCATTGAGCCACACTGTCCAGGTTGTAGTCACAGTCCTTTAGGAAGAAAAGTGCTTCTTCCAAAATTACTATTTAAGGCATTTAAGATTATTGAAATCCTCTATTTCTCTGACCCAGTGGAGGCACTGTGGTTGTAGTACTCGGTGTGCAAGTTCAGAGCAGTCTCTCTATCCGCACCCCCCCCCCCCCCCAGCACACCCTCTCAGATCTTTTTTCCCCACTGTCCTTTCCCAAACCTTTCTTTTGCCTCTGTAACTTGTTTCCTTAGCCATTTGTTTCTTCTATGGCTCACTTTTACTACCTCTGTAACTTTCTAAATAAACTTTCTCTCTTAATTTGAAAAAGAAGTTCAGGGCTGAGACCCTCACCTCCACACTCAGAAGATCCTGGAGATAAGGATTCTTGGGATGGAGTTCCTCTTTGTGTGTGGTGAGCTTCCCCTGCCTTAAAGAAATTGGAGACGGATCATAGCCAGTTTGCCTTTGCTTTCCAGCATTTTGTGCACATCTCCCACTCTTCTCCAGACGACAAATACCATGCTATTGCAGCGTCTAGCTGTTTGTCCCTGTAGAGTCCACTTTCTTGTTTTAGGGAGCTCAGACTACCTGCACAGAAATAACAGGAAATGTGAAATCAAAGCCTAGTCCCTCCCAGGCTTCAGGTAATCTTCCTCTGATCACCCGAAAACCTGCTGTCACCATCCCTCCAGCACTTGGCACTTACAAGCTTTCTTGAATATCCATAAGTTGGGGGGAAAAAACAAACACCACCATTGCCTAGGAGAATCTAGATTTCATCCTTTCCTTAGCTGTGGGTATGAGGCAAAGACCATACCCAGCGGTCTTAGAGGTCGGCCGTGTCACTGTCTCCAGGGACAAGCAGCCCACTCCAGAGATGGCTCGTGAACGGAATAAAGCTGTGCCTTCTTGTGTACCTACGTCTTTCTGCTCTTATTTGTATATTGTGCTTAGCTCTCCCTGGGCAACTCATCTGTGCCCTTCAGCTTAGTGTGGTCAGAGGGTCCTGAGACGAACGGATGCTCGAGACTCCGATGCGAAGGAGAACATGGGCACTGGCAGACCCCGGCCACCGCCTCACCCTTTAGATCCATGAGGATGAGCCTCGGCGTGTACGTTTCCTGGCCGTGCAGCGTTCGGCCGGCCCGGAACAGGACGTCGGGGCACAGCTCCCCCGGCGGCTCCTGGGTGTCAGTCGGTTCACGAAGCGCAGCATCCTGGGGAGGCAGAAAAGGGACCGGACTCAGGGGTGGCAAGATGGGCCAGCCGGAGGCAAGGGCTGGAGATCCCGAAAGGCTCCGCTGGGGCAACTGCCAAGAGACCTCACCTGCTGGTTCCACCAGTGCGCTCCCACGAAACCCGCAAAATGTCCCAACTGCAGCGTGAGCACCTCCCGGGCGCCGCCCGCCATGCCGCGCGACTCCATGAAGTCGCAAAGCCAGCGCCTGCCCACTCGCCGCTCTCAGCCGATTGGCTCGGCAGGCTTGTAGGCGGGGCCTCATCCTCTGAGCCCTATTGGTCCGCAAATACGTCTTTTCCTAGAGGATGAACGATTCATTGGGCTTTAGAGACACCGCTCATCATTCCCGCCTCTTCCTGTCGTGGACTAGTCCTACTTGCTTGTGGTTGCCAAGGGGTGGGGCCCACGCCGGAAGTTGTGGCGCCCGAGCCTCCGCCCCTTGCTGGCGCGTTTTTGGTGCGGTGGTCTTTGCTGCTCAGGTGGGGACTGTCGGGGTTCACCCTACGTCTTACTGCTCTTGCAGCGTTTGTCTCTTCTCTCGGGATACTTCTGCTTCAGGCAAAATTAAAAGCTTGATGGAAAAGGTGCTCCCCTAAAGCTTCCCACGCACCCCTTTCTTCCGCTCAAAAAGTCACAGCCTCCCTGATTTCTAACCCTGTGAACTATCTTCATCTGTCTGTCCCCTCTCCCAGGCGCCCGCAACACGCACCACTTCGCCCCAAGCAGCTTAGCTTCCATCTGTTCTATGTCATGGGCATCAGGTAAGGCATTGTTTGCAGAAAGTACTCAGTGTGAAAACCCTTTGAAGTCTCTGCTCAAGGTCAGCCCTCAGGCCCTTGCAAGCTTGCCTGGCCCTGGATTTCGGAGAATGGAGGCCTTTCTCCCAATTCTCCCCAACACAGGGAGCTCCTTGTGAAGTCAAGTGCACGCCTGCATCCTGGTGTGATTACCTCGCCTCCAAAGGGACAACAGACACAGGCCTGTGGGTGTAGAGAGGACCCCTGAGCCGGTCCAAATGGGAAGAGGCAGGAGGTGCTGAGGCCCAGGCTCAAGTGGAGGCGGCAGGAAGGGAGTGGGCTTTGCTCCATGCCCAGCCCTGTGCCAGGTGCTCACGGTCCAGATCCTCTCCCAATCCTGTGAGAGGTGTTTCTTTGCTCCCTTCCCTCCTTCCCTCTCTCCCTCCCTTCTTCCCCCCTCCACCCTCCCTCCCTCCTTCCCTTCCTTCTGGTTTTACTGAGCACCTGTCTGTGCCAGGCGCTGGGGTCCAAAGGCAAAGCTAGCATCCCCAGGACCTCACTGCCCCGTGAGAGCATCATCAAGAAAATGGCTGTGACCGCGGTGGGTGCAGGATGCAGGGGGAGCCCCTGGGGACTCAGGGAAGATTCTCCAGGGGAGTTAAAGCCGGCTGGGACCTGAAGGCTGAGGAAGGGCATTCCAGGTGGAGGGAACTGCATGGGCGAAGGCAGGGAGGCAGGAAAGAGCCCGCCTGGTCTGGGAACTGTGGGAGGGCGATCAAGTCCGGGTCCAGGAAATCTGCTGTTTGAGGTTGGGGTCCCAGAACCCACTCCCTGGGCCCTCTGCCTTCTTGACCTTCTATGCTCCCGTCTAGGAAGAGGCCCCGGCTCAGCTGCACAAATGGATGCTTTGACATTGGAGAGAGGAAGTGAGCAAGGAGGGGCCAGCTGGTGTGTGTTTTGGGATTGCTTCTCAGAAACCTGCCCCTCATCATCATCATCTCCTCCTCCTCCTCCTCTCCTCCTCCTCCTCCTCCTTCTCTTCCTTCTCTTCCCCCTCCTCTGACACCATGGCAACCCGGAGGCAGCTGGGGGAGCCACCTGTGAGCTGGGCTGAGTTGAGGGGGAGGTTGGCTGGGGGTAAGGACCTCTGCTCCCCCTCTCTGAGCCTCAGTCTTGACATCTAGAATATGGGCACAGCAACCCAGTTGTGGGCTCCTGTCAATCCAGGTGCTCCAGGAAGCCCAGGCCTAGGCCCAGGCAGGACTCCTTAGGGCAGTGGTTCTCAACCTTCCTAATGCC